ATTATAAATTGTAAAAGAATGTGAGAAAAAAATAATTTTCTAGATTTTTCTAAAATGTGTGTAATTTGTGACTCAGATCATGCAGAACAGACAAGTAGACATCAAGAAAGCCAAATGCAGAGTTAGCCTGTGTTGACCCCCCTCCTATCCACCGATCTGGAGATATCGATAAACTACATCCAGTAGCAAGGACTCTGATCAGGTTTTGAGAAGCATGGAACCACCTCCTAATTGCTGTTGTTCGCAGGTCCACCCTGACCTGGGGTGGTAGCACCTGTTAAGTTCTCAGCTAATAACAAATATTTAACCCCCAAACTGGAGTCCAAACACTATGAAAGTATAAACAAATTTATAGTAAAAATACCAGCAATACATTTTCACAGTAAAAACATTACCAGCAATACATTTCTGTAAGGGAAAAATATTATCAGAAATACGTTTTTGTAACAAAAAAAATAGATTTTTTGTAAAAGAAAAAAAAAAAAAACATTACGAGCAAAACATTGCTTAGTCAAGGAAATTACTAATACTTCCAAGAAAAATTAAATTACGGCATTAAATGACCCAAGTAGTTGACATGGCGTTAAACAAACAACCAAAACAGCTCCACTTGGATTACAAGCGTGGAAAAGAACCGTATTGCAGGAGATATAGAAAGACCCAACTAAGAGAGGAGAATGGAGAGACTTTCGGATATCGCATATAAGAATGTAAGGTACACGTTCGGTGAGGGCTCAGGACCGTGCACACACACTGGCTTGCAGTTATTGACGGGTCTGGAGTTAAGTAAAATGTAATGTTATGTTCGAGAGATTAAGTCTCGTGTTTTCCTTTGTAATGTATAATATTTTATTACAGGAAGAGCAAGTCTTTTGACTTCAGATTTTTGCAAATATGGCAGTTTATTAACGTTTGTTTGCTTAACGGCATATCAACCCTTTATGATCATTTAATGCCAAAATTTAATATTGTGGATCTAATAAAAATATGATATATGTTATTCTGCTTTCACAATTGAATACATGGTAGATGATACTCAGCTTTTGTGCATATATATGTTTGTGTGGGTATTATTATTCAAGGCCGTGATATGTGTGTTTTATATTGTAGTTTTGTTGAAGTTATGTTTTGGAATACAGTTTGATTTCTTTAAATAATTGTCGGATATTATATGGATTAATGTCATGAAAGAGTTCTTTCCTTTTGATTGTTTTACTGATTTTGTTTAGTGTCATATCAACTTGTACGGGTTATTTACTGCCGACATTTTAATATTTAAAATAAAAGAAAATTATGGCTTCAACTAAATATGTTTTAAACATAATTTTGTGCCTTCAACTACAGATAAAAGTTATTGTTGGTCATTTTGCTGTAAAATGTATTGTTGGTAATTCTATAAAATTGTATTGCTGGTCAGTTTTCTATATAAACAGGTATTGGTCATTCTACAGTATAGAAATGTATTGCTGGTAATTTTACTATAAAAATGTATTTTTATGCTTTCATTATTTGCCCATGACTGGTGCGTTAACAGGTGCTACCACCCCGGGTCAGAGTGAACCACAGCAATTAAGTGGTGGTTCCAGGCTCTTGAAAACCTCCAATCTCCCCATCAGAAGCTTTACTTTAGTTACTAATAATATAGCTAGCCATTCGTATACCACTAGTTCAACACCCACAGAGCCCACCTGTGGTTTATACTGCAACTGTGCTGAACAGACCTTAGTTGCATTTTCTGGGAAAGAGCGTGTCATCTAGCGTGATCAACAATTTGAACAAGGCATGTTCAAGTTAGGAATAGGGTTAGGCCACGATGATTTATGACTTCGTGCTAGCACAACTATCGAGATTCAGTCGACCCAATTTAACTCACAAGGCTTGGATCAACACGTCGTATGGTTTTTCAGGGACTTTCCAAAGATGCCGCACACTGGGACCTACCCCTCCAGTTCGATAACATCAGGAAGTCTCCTTCCTGACAAATTGACCATGGTGAGATTCGAACCTGGGTCTCATGGTCAGAATGCGAACGTTCCATATAGTTAATAAAGAATAATAATACAATAAAGACCTTATGAGCTATATCTTAGACATAATTGCGCACTGGGCCTATCTATATTTAATTTCAAATATTAATAGCTCAATATAAACCTCTTCTACTTCGATATGCCCTGTCTTCTCTGACTTGGTTGCTCATGGCTCTGCATATTATCCTTTCTAACTCTGTTTCTTATCATCCAGTTCTAACATCCATTTGCACAAGCTCGTTAACTAGGCTAGCTTCTGTCCCTATTATATTTAAAATGTCCTGTATGCTTGTAATGTAATCAACCTTGATCTGGCATCTTGACATAACGTTTTTTTACAGACTCTGCCCATGGTATTCTCAGCATTATTCTGTAGAACCACTTTTCTGTTGCTTCAGTTCAATGCCATATAAGAATAAATATTACATGAGACTTCGGTACACTTTTCTTTGGTTTGAACGAAAATTTACTGTTTCTTAATACTTTGATTAGTTTTTTGGAAGGGAAGGGATAATTCAAAACCCCCAACTCAACACTGCCAACTCTACACCGCCAACTCTACACCACCGACTCAACACCGCCGACTCAACACCACCGACTCAACACCACCTACTGAGTGCCGGGACAACTCAGGACCGAGACAACTCAGCACCAGAAAAATATAAAATTTTTATAATCGAATAAAAATAATCTATTAAGGATTAAAACCTTAATTAGTGAATATTTTTCTTCAAATAAGGTATTTGAAAAGGTATTGTGCAAAATATGAACCAGTGTTTTTGTTTTTAATTATTTTTAATAAAGTAAAACGAAAAATGCAAAACAAAACGAAGCATTTTGTTTTTAATTTTAGAAATGTTTTTGTTTCTAACTCTTCCACACTCAGTAACCCCTTATGAAAATTTTCATGGATTTTGATGTTATTCTGGGGTCTTTTTTTTTGTTGTCCAAATCTGTGAATTTCTTTTGCTCATGCTAAGTCTCGAAAAAAAATTTATATAAAAGACACTATTCATTCATAATGTTGAATGTGTTACAATTTTTCAACTTTTTAACGAGAAAAATGTCAAGTTGATGCTAAAAATGCTGCAAAACGTTGTTGATTTATTTAAGAGATGTAGTAGAATGGGGGTCCCCGGATCATAGATTCGGAGTTCTGCGCACGATACACTTGCCCTGACACAACGGCTGAAACGCTGCGGTTATAAGAACAAATCTGTTAGTCTGAGTCTAAATACGGTTCAATCACTTAGACAAACAAGAGTTAAATCACTCGTAGTAGGAATAGTAACAGCAGTATACAAAATTTTTAATATAACCCTATGATTTAAAACTCTATGCGTTGTGAATGTGTTTGTGCGTGGCATAGATTTATATTCAAGTGCATTTAAGCACGTAGATGTACTTTCATATAAACACTCGACATAACAGCTGCAAATGAAGTCACTATCATCACCGATGCAGTCGAGCGCGTGCAGACGTTTCTAAACCAGATAGACGCAAAGAAAGATATGAAAGGCATTACACTTAAATAAACTTAACAAAAACTCGAGAAGATAGCATCGTTTTCATAAATCTGTGAATGCTAAGAAAAGGAGACTTGTTTGATAAGAAGCGGCAGGCAAAGGAATTTTTATTGGGAAGAGAAAGAACGACAAGAGAGATGATGGTGATCCCGTCTCTGAAAACCTAAAACACCATCTGCTGTCGACATTGTAAATCCATCAGGGGGTGTAAGGTCGAGTTGAACGGTTTCTTGTGCTGCCAATCGTTACATCCGGCTTCGATTCTGTTCAATAAAAGGCTCCCATTCTATCTTAGTCATACACTTTGATTCAGTGGCTAGTTTTGTGAAGAAAGGTCACTTACAGGAAATAGAAAGTAGCACTTTGGTAACAAAATGCCGTTAGTGTCTCTGTGTACATAGTTTGATATATTTTATATGCACACGGTGGAAAAAGAAGTGTGTATATTACTATAATTAAGCACATTTATTGAGATCAGATAAATCTGGCACAAGAACACGGTCGTACCAAAAGAAAATCAGCATAATTAAACTAGATAAAGGGTCTGCGAGATACTCCAATAGCTTCATGTTCTACTCCAATAGCTTCATGTCTCGCACCTCCCTTCCCTATTCCATTTTCCCTGAGAGCTATAATCTCCAGCTATTCAAATGTAATGTCAATCGACATCAGTTGCCTTGATCTATCCACTACCCTTCTCCTCATCCTTTCTTCTATCACTCCTATCTGATCTTGCTCCAAATTTTCTGTAACCCCTTGCGTTTTAGTGGCTTCTCGCCTTGCTTGGGGTGAAACGCTTAAAAAAAAAAGTTTGTGATTCATCACGCCGAACGCCATCATTGGCTTAAAAGTTATGAAAAAGCTGAATGCAAGTTAGATTCCTGTTGGAAGACATATTTTCTTTAGTAGGGTTTAAATCAGTAAGCCGGTAGACATTAATTTCTCTGTTTTAAAAACAAGTGTATCTACTCAAACAAGTGTACCCACTAAATATAAGGATTTTGCTTTAATACTGATGTTCAATCGCTACAAGGTCCGAGACCCACTCAAGGTAGAGTGTCACTGTTCGTTGTTGTGTAAGCGTAAGAAAACAAGATGTGCATCTCATTGGATTATGCAGATGAGATAACGATTAACACTAGCCTTAAATAAACTAAGATTATTACTGGGATTTTTATTGATTGGTTCATTTTCTACGGTTTATCAACTCATTACAGGTTATTTAAAGCCAGAAAATATTTTGTCATTTTAAGAATATATTTTTTGAGATAATAATGATTTAGTGATACAAGTTTTACTAATTAACCCATAGATGATGGAAGAAGAGGTGGATTCATACCATTCCCAAGTGTATTTGCGCGTAAGTGAATATAACCAACCCAACTGGAATTGGAACTCAGATTAACAATTCCGAATCATTATACTTTACACCACCTGCACACCCAAGCTTACAGCACCTGGTATTCTCAAGCAGTCGGCCATCTAAGTAATGACCAGGCTCGACGTTGCTTAACTTCGGTGATCGTACGGAAACCGATGTGTCAATATTATGTAGCTGTAAACCTTTTAGTGATTGGGAAAGCAATAGTGAATGTTCCAAAAAGTAGCAGTTCGTAGGAAGAAGCTATCCGAGTGGAACTTACTAATGGTATACGAAAGGAATGAGGATGACCCATCCGTGTGTTACGTGGCATGGTGGGTACCAGTTGCTGATGGGTCCAAAGAATATAGATCATCTGATAACATACCATAGAAATAGCGATATAGTATTGAGAGGCTGGCGACGTTTTGTCCGTGGGGAAGGGGATAGGATGGAAAGTAACTCATGAAGGCCGCGTAGACGCTTTTGAACTTAAATGTCGAATTAAGAAAGTCTATTATTTGCTAAAAAATCCATTGCTTACGTTTTGGATACGAAAATTAACGGATATAGACTTCGAAAGGTCTCAATTAAAGATGTGCAATTAAATAGATTAATTGACCATTGTTTTTTTTAAATTTTTTTTATGATAGCTTGTTTTAGCCTTATTGATACGGTTGAAAAGTTGTTCTGATTAAAAAAAAAGGTATACAAATTTGTTTACTGTCGTTAGTTAGCGTGACACAAGGCGAAAATGCATGAGATATCGAATTCATTACAGTGCAGACATTAGGGCTTAGAGAATTTAACACTTACAGTTTCAATATTTTCATTTATTTCTATTTATGACTAACTTAAAAGCTGCCCTCCGTGCGGACTTTTAAGATAGTAATAGGCCCAAATTAGAAAACAGCAATGATCATTTTGAAGAAATAAGTTTGAATTACTCAATTCATGGAACTTCAAAATCTCATTTTAACTCTGATTCGCTTTATATGTCCAATTCCGACCGATTTGGGTCGAAATTTCAATCGAAAATTGAGTTGTTCAAATCGCAAACTCCATGGAACTTCAATTGAGTCGAGTTCGTCAAATCAAAATCTCTGCGGAACTTCAAAATCTCACGTCACGAAACCTCTCACTATAACTCTGATTCCTTGGCATTTTGAAGAAATAAAACAGATTTCCTCAATTCACAAATTTTTGGAGATTAAATTAAATTCACAAAGTTTTTGTGTTACATTAAACTCAGTATAAATTAAATTTTTTAGATCACTAATTTTTTTCAGCTATTTTAAAATTTGAATTTTTAATTATTCCTCCTAATCCGGACACAAATACCAATGCTGGATGAAGGTCAGATTTTTAATCCAGGGATTATCCTGATTCTAAAAAGATATAATATGTCTATGTAGAGCATGTGTGGCCCTTGTTAGAGAAGTTTCAGACACACGGAGGGAGACACAGAATTTACCGTTTATTTATTTAGATTTTTATTTTAGTTATTTTCTTTTCTTTATTTTGACATGTTTGTCAGATGAACCGGTGTTAGATAAATAATTATTTCACAAGGTTCTGCTTATTCGGTTAATTAGTAAGTTAGCACGTACATTAATCCCGTCATTATTTCAGAAAAAGAGAGCATCCATAAAAAATAATAAGAAAGAAAGGTGATAATGTTCTCGTGCTTTTAATGTCTGCTTCACTGATATGGAAAAAATATTTTCAAATTGAATCTTTTCTATTTGTACCATATTACTTCTATAAATAATGACCTGTAATCATACTTGTAATTGTAATTGCAATATTTTTTTTAAATATGTTAATCTCAAATATTTAACAGTGCAATAAGGGAATTTTGACGGTTTATAAGTCATTTTATAGTTCTAATGAATCATTCAACAATGAGTTCGTCTCTGCTTCATATTCATATAAAGATACTGTAGAGATGCTAAATGCGATTGTCACCCTTTGGTCGAAATGAAGCCATGTGGATATCTATCTATCTATCTATCTATCTATCTATCTATCTATCTATCTATCTATCTATCTTTCAGTCTCTTTATCTCTCTCTCTCTCTCTCTCTCTATCTATCTATCTATCTATCTATCTATCTATCTATCTATCTATCTATCTCAGTCTGTTATATCTATCTATCTATCAGTCTATTCAGTCTATCTATCTATCTATCTATCTATCTATCTATCTATTTATCTATCTATCTATCTATCTATCTGTCTGTCTGTCTCTTGATTCTATCTATCTATCTATCTATCTATCTATCTATCTATCTATCTATTTCCATCTATCTCTCTCTCATCTATCTATCTATCTATTATCTATCTATCTTCTATCTATCTATCTATCTCAGTCTGTCCATATCTATCTATCTATCTATCTATCTATCTATCTATCTATCTATCTATCTATCTATCTCAGTCTCTTCATATCTATCTATCTATCTATCTATCTATCTATCTATCTATCTATCTCTCTATCTCTATCTTCATATCTATCTATCTATCTATCTATCTCAGTCTCTTCATATCTATCTATCTATCTATCTATCTATCTATCTATCTATCTATCTATCTATCTCAGTCATTCACTCACTTTTTTCATATCTGTTTATCTATTAGGTTTTATATAAATTTGTTACAACTTATTTTAATACTTATCATTTATTAATAATCATGATGAATCATTTATCAAGCAATTCCCTTTCTTTGTTTAGGACCACCTGCTAACGATCCGCTAACCGCTCATTGGCTCATCGGTAGAAATCACTAGATTTTGACTCGAAAAAATTATCAAGATACATTTTAAGCTCTACATCGTTGTTGAACGAAACACGCCTCAAATTGTTGGAAATCGACCGAAAAAGGCAGCAGTCTGATGGGTTTATATCAAGAGAATATGGTAGGTGAGGCAGAACTTCCCTTCCCAGCCGAGCTCTTTTATTTCATGCTTGATCCTGATAGCGACGGGGAGGTAAAAATTGCCATGTTCAATAACCATATCATCGCTTAGGTCTTTTCAACTGAATTGCTTTTTTGAGCTTCTGTTCATCTGTTCAGCATAAACTTTAGCATTGACCATTTGTTTGTTCTGGACCTTACTCATTGTCGAGTAACATGAGAATTTGCCATCTTCTAAGCCAATTCCATAGTGGTTTGGTGGTGTTGTTCTTTAATCAGAGCGTGCGTTGGTTGTCATCAAACTCGACCAGAACGCGGAGAGTCTGTGAGAACTTCTTCGCCTTGAAACGGGAAAACCATTTCTATACCATTCTGTCGGTAATGGAATCATGTCCGTACACAGCACAAATGTCTCGAGCAGCTTTGGCAGCGCTAACATTTAAAGATTATCTATTGTACACATTTTAAAAAGTTTGCGGAGTATTCGTAATTAATTTTATTGAGGTTTGGTTTCAATTTTTTTTTTATATATAAATAGCTTCGAGAATTTTTAGCTTGTGTTTATTCTTTTCGTGGAAAAGTATGGAGGTATTTTCGACGATAATTTTTCTGAATTGCGTGTGTGGATAGGGATGTTGCAAATGTTTAGAAATATTGGACGTGTTATTCAGGTGAAGACTTCGCCTACGTGAAAGCGTTGTTGTCGTGTGTCCAACATAGATTATTAGTTTTATCGTTGGAGATGCAAACTTTATAAACGATGTTGGTTTTCTGCAACACGCAAGTGGCCGGGGATGAGTCATTACGAATGATTTTATTAGATATAGTGGATTTAGTGTAGTATATAATAAGTTTTATTTTTTTTTTACTATGGTCTGTCGTGGATGTATTAGTTTTTATAATTCTTTTTAGGACATTTTTGGCTTTTTCCTCGTCGAAAATACCTCCACACTTTTCCACGAAAACAAATAGTCTTTAAATGTTAGCGCTGTCATTAATAGTTTTTCCTTTATCTAGCAACGACTCAAGTCGGAAATTTTTCCACAGCATACTTAGTTACCTCCCCTTAAACGGTGTCCATCACCCACACCATGACAAAGCGTACCTAATTCAACATATAAAAATACTTACTCTATAATTAACAATACCCTGATGATGACATTATGCTATGTCGAAAGTACTCGGAAATAAATACTATATGAAATAACACGGTGTTTTCCTTTCGTCTTTTAATAACCGCAGAAAAAAGCTTATTCGCGAATATGAAAGGATCCTATCGAGAATAAGTAGACAGAACATGTCTAATCTATTTAACGAAACCTGTCTTAATGAAAATATTCTGCCGAAATATATGCATATATATATATATATATATATATATATATATATATATATATATATATTTCATTAAATTTCATTATAATAAGTGTTGTCTATTTATTTTATGTAATTTTTTTTCGTAACGTCTGATAAGTTTAATAATATTATCGTTGAACGAAGAAAGAAATTCACAATATTGATCCATATTTTTTTAATACAATCTAAGCTTTCGGCTTACATAAGCCATTATCAAAGATGTCAATTACAACATATTAAACAATATACGGACAAGACAGTGATGATAGTCTGTCATTGTTTACATAGATGATTTCTAAGCAACGATAAACACGTGCATATAAGACGCTAGAAGCGAAAATCGCACCGCATCTCATGACGGCACACATGACCACACGAGAGTGAATTGGAGAAGTATGGGAAGCCGTTGGTATAAACCAATGGCTTCTGTTACCAATTATAGACATATATATATATATATATATATATATATATAAAGGTAGATTTTTCCATATCTTTCTGTAGATGATTTTAGAAAATCAGGAATATGCTATAATAAGATGTTCTTCATATTTTCTGTGTGTATCGTGGGATAACTTTTTCTTCGATGCATTTCAGTCAGCAAGAAATTTTACACTAATTGAAAGACTAAACAATCCAGTAAGACAAAAATGTTTCGAATGTGTGTTAATCGGTAGATCATCGACAGTAAATTTGCGTCCAGGTTCTTATACATATATATATATGTAACATCAATCAGCTAAGTGACAAATTTTATATTTGTATTAATCCTAATACATATATTACACATTAAATTACGTCACCTAGCATCGTCCATACTTTACCTAAACTTTTCAGTTAGCCCGATGTATATTTGTGAATGTTTCTTAAATTTAAAAAATTTGAAAAACTAACGACATTTTCCTTTTGTTT